TGATAGTTTATAAATGGGTATTTTGTCATATCTTGCCCTGTCCGACGTCTCCCTTCATCCACCTTTTTAAGGTAGAGAATGAGAGTTTAAATCTTTCCGAAAGGGCATGCCATTAGACACCACACCATGATTGATTACAACTGTTTCTATAATTATTACACTTTAAAAAAATCTCATTTCAAGATAAATGACGGAAAACAGCCTCAATGGCAGTGGGCTTGGTGGCTGTTGGGAACCGGCCAAGCACAGCAGGGTGTCAGGATGGCCTCCCGGCTGCTCCCTCGGGGCTCACACCTACAGCCCCGGAGGCCAGGGCAGGGGACCTGGGGAAAAGCCCATGGGCCCAGGTACCTGTGGGAAGGGCTGCCACCCATGGCGTCTTCGAAGGCCTGGTGCAGGAGGCGGGTGTCCTCACAGTTGAGATGGATGGAACACTGGTGATGGGGCAGGGGTTGGCCCCCGGGAGTGTTGGGTGAGGCCAGGAAGCTGGGCAGCCTGTCTACAGCCACTGAGGGATCCAAGAGGAGGCTCAGGGTCATGGGACTGTGTCCTCCACCCCCACAGGTACTCCCTTACCTGGCTCACCCAAGTGGTGGACTGAGAGGCAGTTGCAGGTGGCGGTGTGTTTGTTTGCCATGGGGTGGAGTGGTGGTGCTAAGAGCTGAGCAGGCTGGGGGCCAGGGGATGGAGTGGGTGGAGGCCACTCAGCTCACCTGCAATCCAGGTGTGTCTTACCGTTGATCTTGGTGACAGGTGACTGGGTGTCCAGCTGAGAGATTCTCCCCACGAACTCCTTAGGAAGCCACTCCTGGAAGGGGAATCTACTGTCAAAAGCCCTCTGCTCAGGCTGGTCCCTTAGCCTCTGACTGACTGCAGAACTCCTCTCTATCCTTCAGAGCTCAGCCCGAACCACCTCCTCCAGGAAGCCCTCCCAAGTCCCCCACACGGAACCGCCATGCCTCGTGACTCTGGCTCTGCCTGTCCTCCTCCCTGGGAGCACCCCCACTCCTCCTGCTTCCAGTATGCCCAGGAGCTGAAGCTCCCTGTCCCTTTTGCCCTCAGGTACTGCAAACAGTGGGCACACTTAGCTGCTACCAGGAGGGTCGCAAGCCTGAGTCTGCTCAGAGAGGGCTGGGAAGAGCGGCTGGTGGCTGCCTTCCCCCTAAGCAGTCAGCAGTCACTGAAAACCCTGTGGGGCCTGGTTCTGCCCTGGCACACCGGAGGCTGCCCAGGGACAGGAGGAGCCTCATGGTGATCGGTTTGACTTTTGCTCTGTTTGGACTGTGTCTCCTTGCCATTCAGCACTCAGAGGTCTTGATTGCCCAACTTAGTCTTGGACGTCTTGAAAGCCAGGATTCCTTAAGATGCTTTGCACTGAGCTCAGTAGACTCGTGTTTCTAGAATTACTTCGAAAAAAGGATAAGTTGTTTGTCCCCAAGAGTGGTTGGGAAGTACATGCGTGATACGCTTTATAGCTTGGGGACAGGGCAGGGATCTAAAAATATATATCACAGCCATCGTGTGGGTTCTGGATCATGTGACCCTATAAAAACCCAAACCAAGCCAAACAGAACAACTCATTACCACCGAGTCCACTCTGACTCATGGGGACCCTGTGGGGCAGGGTCAAACTCCCAACATGAGCTTCCAAGACTGGAATCCTTATGGGAGTAGAAAGCCTCATCTTCCCCTCAAGGAGCGGCTGGTGGTTTCAAACTGCTAACCTTGAAAGTAGCCGCCCAATCTGTAACCACTATGCCACAAGGGCTCCAGTAGCCCTATAAGCAAATCAAGCCCACTGCCATCGAGTCGATGGCAACTCGTAGCGACCCTATCGGGCAGGCCCTTGTGAGTTTCTGACACTGTGACACTTAAGGGGAGTAGAAAGGCCCCCTTGGACAAAATAGAGCTGCCCTTTTGGGTGTCGGGGGCTGTACATCTCTATGGGAGCAGAAGGTCTCATTTTTCTCCTTCCAAGTGGCTGGGGGTTTTGAACTGCTGAGCTAGCAGGTAGCAGTCCGATGTGCAATCCCCCAGGGCTCCTTAGAGAAGATGTAGGCTATTGCAAACATTGTCCCAAATCCAACCCTTCCCTGCGCCACCTGGTTTGCAGGCTAACGTTGGAGTGTCCTCCGGCTCACTCAGACTCAGCTCCACCATGAATGAGACTCGCTTGGTCAACGTTAGCAAATTCGATGCATGGAAGCATGGAAAACACTTTTTTGACTGAGTGGGCTTGCCTTGCCCCGGACTACCTGGCTGGAGGATGAGAGACCTGTGGCACAGAGCCAAGGCCCCAGTCACCCCATCGGGAAGCATCCAGGGCCAGAGCTCCTGGCCTCGGAGTCTGGAGTTGCGGTGGTGGTTTGTAACATAGTCTTAAGACAGCCGTGCGTTAATACAGACCAGGGATTGGAGCTGGAGAGGCTTAACTTTGTAGGTTTGACTTGGCAGCTGTCACTCCGGGGAAAGTGGCACTTGAGTTCTAGCTCCGGCTCTGCCCATTCCCCACCACATGGCCCCAGTCGCCTCTCCATTCTGGGCCCTTCTTTCACCTGTGAGGTTCCTTTCCTGCTTGCTACCTGCCCAGCAGGTGGAAGAGAGAGAAGGGCTTCCGTCTCCAAAGGAGGAAGGTCTTGGCCCTGGCCCGATGCCCAGGGCTGCCCAGTCCCCTCCCACCCATCGAATGGACACCTGGCTCTCCCTCACACGCCCCTCCCCTTTGCCAGCTGTGTCTTGGCAGCCATCTTCCCTGGCCCCCTCCAGGCCTCACCTGTGGCGTCAGCTTCAGGAAGGTGATCTGAGGGGACGCGTTGGACAGCACCACTTTGCTCCTCACCTCCGTGCCATCCTGCAGCACGACGCCCTGGACTCGGCCTCTGCTGCTCACCTGCACCCTGTCCACCGTCTGCGCCCACCAGGAAGAGGCCCCAGAGCCCTGGTTGTATCCTGGGGGCTTAGCCAGGCCCTCACAGCCTCCTCACCCCCACACCAGCCTTGCCAAGGCCTACCTACGGCTTGTTGGGACACCTTGAACCCACCCCCAATACAAGGAATCAACCCAAACATGGCTGGGGAGGCTGCAGAACTGGAAAAGGTGGGGTGGTGGTGGTCTTCTGCAGACAGAAGAACTGAGAACCCCCCAGAGTGGGTTGGGGTGATGCCTCACACCACAGGCAGCAGCACCCCTCAAATCCGAGCCCCACATTCTTCACCAGGAAAGGCAGGACCTTTTGACTCCAGTCTGCCCTGGGACCTCTGCCCGTCCCTGGGGACAGTCACCTTGTCAGTGAAGATTTTTGCTCCATGCGCTGTGGCAGAGCTCGCGATGGCATCTGAGAGGGCACCCATGCCACCCTGGACGTAGCCCCAGGCCCCTGGCATCCCCTCCAGGCCCCCCATCACGTGATGTAGCAGCACATACCTGGGGAGAGACCATCAGAGTCAGGACCTTGTGGGGGGGGGGAGGGGGAGTCCATCTCCCCTAGGGCTCGTGGTGCAAATACTCCCCTGTCTTGTATCTTTCAAGGTGCTTCCTGCCTCTTTCCCAGTCTCCAACTTCAGTTCGTCTTCCCATCGCTATGAATGGCACTTTCGGTTGCCAACAGAAACCCAGGCGCCAACCTGGCCTCCTGGTCACCCCACACAGCCCACAGCCAATTGAGGACTGCAACTCGGCCTTCCAGGAGCTGGCCGAGGCAGCCGCTCCCCGCTCCCCACTCCTGGGCCTGCTTGGCCCCACTTCCCTTCCTGACACTGAGCGCTGCCCGGCTGCAGGCCTTTCTTGGCACAGACACTGGAGCTTCAGAAACCCCAGCTGTACTCTGGTCACTTCGCTTTTCAAAACCCTCCTAGCTGACCGTTGCCCTCGGGATAATCGCCGCTCTCCCCAGACAGCCTCCCAGGCTGCTGCCTGCGTGTCCGTCTCCGTGAGTGGACCTCCGTCTCTCACCTCCGAGCCTCTGCCTGCTCTCTTCTGTCTGCCTGGAGCCCTTGCCTCTCCATCCCTCCTTGTCCTTCAGGTCAAATGTTTCGGGAATGATGATGGCAACAAATGTGCAAAGGTGCTTGACATACAATGGATGGATGGATGGATTGTGATGAGTTGTATGAGCCCCCAATAAAATGATCGAAAAAAAGTAGCTCTTCCTCATGGAGGTTTCTGGGGACTTCTAGACCGGGTTTAGGGTACCGCTCGCCTCCTGCTGGGTCCCTAGCCCACCTCTCCGGCCCTTGGATTTGGCTCCCCATGCTGCGACTCTCGCCCCGGCCTGCTGTATCCCCAGTACCCCGCACAGGACAGAGAGTCATGGAGAAATGGAGGATGCCAGGGCCCATTTCACAACCTGGGCAGCAGTTCTATCCCTGGAGGGCCCCACAGCTGGGAGACCTCACACATTGAGCGATCACAGAGCTGGCACCCCTGAATGGTTCTGGGGAGTCGAAGGCTGGCCTCATGCACATTGAGAACCCTCATCCAGGGGGCACTCTCGTCCCTCCAGGGAAAAGCTACGCTGACTTGAAAATGGCCCACCACCGGGCAGCATCCTCCCCCTAACCTGCACTCGCATGCAGACACACAGGCGTACATACATGTGGACGCCCGCACAGGCACGCGTCCCCTCCTCTCCAGCCCCTGCAAGGGCTCCTGACTGAAGTCAGACCCCAGCGGCAGGACTGGCTGGATCTGACTGCTCCCTCTTGGCCTGGACCCCCAGCACGCCATCCCCCAGAAAAAGACACTGCTTCCGGTCCTTACACGAAGCTCCCAGTGTTGGAGCTTTCCCTGCCCAGGGAAAGGACCCAGGTGGGTGAGGGGAAGGCAGCAGGGCCTCGGGGGAGAGGAAGAGAAGAGAGAGGCAGAAGGAAGAAGAGGGAGGCCCGGAAGAGGCTGTTGGCACAGAGAGGATAGGACAGTGGGAGGGGAGAGAGGGCAGGCTTAAGGCCCATGTGGTGCGATGGCGAAGCCCTCCGAGGCTACTGGGAAGGTGGGAGCTTGAACCCACTAAGCAGGTCTGCAGGGGAAAGGCCTGGCCATCGGCTTCCATGAAGGGTGACAGCCTAGGAAGTCCTAGCGAGCAGGTCTACTCTCATTTGGAATCAACATGAATCAGAACCGACCAGCTTCAGGGTGCTGGATAGCCAGCATCACGGAATGGTGACCAAGGAGGACCATCCTTGACCAGATGCCCTGGGCTCCTGCTACTTAACCTGCTGTGTGACTCGAGGCAAGGCGCTTCCCTTCTCTGAACCATAGCTCCTCCGTGCCGCTTCGAGGGTGACCCAGAGGCGCATGGGGTGCGTGGCTCCGTGCCTGGCTCATGGCTCTGAGCTCAATAAATGGGAGCGGTTGCGGTCACTGCTGCCAGGCTGCTGTCCCTGTTGCAGGCCCCGAAGCTCCCTCGTACCCCTTCTCTGTTGCTGTCCCCCAACTCACCCACTCCCCGGAGTGTGTGGGCTGGTCATAGCTCCAATCACAGCATCCGTCGCAAGAGTGGCTTTTAGAGGCTCCGACTCAAACCACTGATCTAGCACCTGGGGCAGCAAAAGAGCAGGGGGACAGACTCAGCAGCCTGGGTGGGTGTAATCTGTGCCCCCCCCTGCCCCATCATACTGTCTGTCTGAGGCTGGAGCCACTCACCTTTGTAATGGGAGCCGTGAGGACCTGGTAGTACTGAGGAAGCTGGGCTCCCAGCGTGAGGCCTGAGGGAGAAGACGGAGGAAACATAAGCTGAGAGGTCTACTCCACGGGGTTAGGCAGACTCAAGAAGAATCAATGGATTTGAATTGTGGAGCTGGAGAAGACTCTTAAAAGTGCCATGGATTGCTGAAAGGGTAAATCCATCTGTCGTGGAAGAAGAAAGGCCAGACTGCTCCTTAGAGGTGAGAATGGGGAGACTTCGTCTTACAGACTTTGGACATGTTGTCCGGAGAGTCCAGCCCCCAAAGAAGGGCATCATGCTGGGTCAAGTAGAGGGGCAGCATAAGAGAAGGAGCTGGATTGACACCATGTGTGGCAATTACATTATCTGCTGCCCACTTGAGACTCTTAAGAGTGAAGAGGTAGCGTTTAGCCTGTCAATCAAGGTCACAGCTTGATGACCTCATTTGGAGGCGCAATGGAGATAAATAGCTCACTGGAGGCCAGACCCACACTCTCTTCCTGCAAGACATTCTTGTTGACAAGCCACATGGAGCTAAGCTGATGGAACCGGAGCCCTGGAGCTGGAGAAGCTATGTGGAGACCCACGCCAGCGCTGAGATGCTTCCACTGCCATGCCATTCCCAAGACTTTCCACCCACCGGCTTGTGATCTGCAGTCGGCGTGATTGCGTGTGTTTCGTGAGTCTGAAGAGGACTTTATAGATTGATATCAGAAATGTGGGCTAATATCAGACTTATGGACTTGATCTGGACTGGGCTGGGATGTTTTCTTAACATACAATTACTCTTGATATAAAGCTTTTTCTTATACACATAGGAGAGTCTATGAATTTGTTTCTTTAGTCCGCCCAGACTAACACACCGTGGTTGCCACAATGGGCATGGGGATAATTGTGGGGATAGTGCAGGGCCAGGCAGTGTGCCGTTCGGTTGTGCATGGGTCACTGTGGTCAGCACCGACTCCATGGCTTCTAGCAATAACAACAACGCTCGGGAGACACTCCCATCGTGTCCCTGTGAGGGAAGGCTGGGAGAAGCCTATCCTAATGGATGCAGGTGGTACCAGCTGGAAGTCTTGGCCTTGCTTTGAACATCTCCGAGCCATTTTCCTCACTCACAAGATGGGAGACATCCAAGGAGGGCTTCGGAATGTCTGTGGGGAAATGGCATGCAAAGATAACGAATGTTTCTACAACCTCTTTGAAGCGCCCTCATGACATCTGCGTCCTAGGGCCCTCGTGGGGACTGAATGAGATCCGTACAGCGTTTGTAGCAGGCACTGGCCACAGGTTAGCTGCGGGCATCATTTCTGGTGAGTCCCTGGGTGGTGCAAATGGTTAACATCCTGGGCTCCTGACCAAAGTTAAGCCCACCCATCAGAGACGCAGAAGAAAGACCTGACAACCCATGTCTGAAAAAGTATCCGTCTGTATTAGTCTAGGTACTTTGGAGAAACAAATCCACGGCGACTCACATATAAGAGAGTTTTATGTAAAGAAAAGGTGCATCACGAAAACATCCCAACCCAATGCTGCCCAAGCCCACAAGTCCAACATTAACCCATTAACCCAACACCAGTCCACAAAGTCCTCCACCTCACAAAACAGAGGCGATGATGCCGACTGCAGGAGGAAAGCTGAGTCAGTGAACGAACAAGCATCTCAGCACTAGCAGGGGTCTCCACACGGCTGCTCCAGCACCCAGGGCTGCATCGGGATAGGTCCATGTAGCTTCCTTCTCCTTGGGGATGTCTTGTAGGAAGTCAATCTTGCAAGCTGAAGCAGGGAACTGCTAAGGCAGCTGCACCCGGTGCAACCATCACAAAACAAGAGACCCGAGAACTAGAAAGGCGAGGCTTCACCACCCATTTATCCCTCTGCCTTTCAACCAGACCCACATGTGATTATCGGCCAGGCTGGCACAATTAACTAACTCACCGTCCAATGCTCAATGGAACCCAGTTCTGTTCCGACCCTCTCCCCACACACTGCAACACACACACACACACACACACACACACACACACACTCACAATCACGGGATCACCATGCGTCGGAATCAGTTTGAGGGCAACTAGTTTAATTTTTTTTTTGGTGGGAGGGTTTGAACTTATACTCTATCTCTTTATCTTGAACCCAGTAAATCTCACACCCCAGGGGGTAGCCAGCCTTGCCTACTCACATCTCTGATACGAACTCAGACCATCACAGAGAGCCCTGGGCAGTGAGACCTTGAGGACACAGGCCACGACCTCTAGACATGTTCCCAGAGCCCATAGCTTTGTGTCTGGCCCACGTGGCTGTTGTCAGGTGCCATTGAGTCGGTTCTGATCCATTGCGACCCTGTGCACAACAGAACGAAACACTGTCCGGCCCCAGGAGGAGTTTCCCACAATCGTTGCTACACCTGAGCCCATCGTTACAGCCCCGGTGTCCGTCCACCTTGTTGAGGGCCTTCCTTTCTTTGCTGCCCCTCCACTTCAGCAAGCATCATGTCCTTCTCCAGAGACTGGCCCCTTCTGACCACATGTCCAAAGTATTACTGATTACTTTGTCTGGCCCCTACTAGTGCCCGATAAATGTTTATGGCATGACACTCCATTGGCATTTTCCTGTTAAGTGGAGAGCCAATATCCGTGTTTAGCATGTGCGGTAGATTTCACGGGCTAAGATTCTTCACCCCTTCTATATTCAACCCTGCAATTCTGCCATGTGGCTCTGTAGCCTTGCCCACCACAGGGGGGTTGCCCTGCTCTGCCCTTGACTCTGGGCTCACCCAGCCACGAGGCTTCACTGGCTTGGCTGGTGGAATGTTTGCAGATGCCATCAGATGCCATGCACGCAGAGGCTTGGTGCGAGCCTGTGTCTGGGTCTTTCCCTCTGTGCCCTGTCATTGGCAGGAGCAGGCGAGCCTGACCCTGGACAGGCCTGCTGCTTCAAGAGGAGGATGAGAGGCCCGTGGTGCAGGGCTGCTCCAGCCCGGTCGCCCCAACACAGACATATGCAGGAGACCAGCCCAGCCCAGCAAAACCACACAGTCACGGGAGAGTTTTCTAAGCTGCTGGGATTTGGTCATTATTTGTTAGGCAAAAATGTGGCCACATATAACGGGATTCTGTAACTGTCTAGAGCAACGGTTCTCAACCTGTGGGTTGTGACCCCTTTGGGGAGTCAAACGGCCCTTTCACAGGGGTTGCCCGATTCATAAGAGTCGCAAAATTACAGTGATGAAGTAGCAATGAAAATGATTTTATGGTTGGGGCGTCACCACACCATGAGGAACTCTATTACAGGGTGGCGGCATTAGGAAAGTTGAGAACCACTGAACTAGAGGCTGTAACTTCCCTTCCCAAACCCATGACCCAAACCAGCCCAAAGCAAACTCGCTGCTATTGAGTCGATTGTGGTGCACAGCGGCCCTAGGAGACAGAGTACAACTGTCCGGGGGTGGGGGGTAGGGTGTGGCAGGGTTTCCAAGGCTGTAAATCTCTATGGGAGCAGAAAGCCTCGTCTTTCTCCCATGGAGTGGTTGGTGGTTTTGAACTGCTGACCTTGTGGTTAGCAGTCAGACACGTAACCCATTATGCCACCAGGTAGACATTACTAATGGATCAGAGAAGCCTTTGTCAATGAATCCAGATTTCATAAGACCTCTCTTCAAATCCTAGAGCCCCTATCTCTTATTCTAGCCATGGCTGTGCTGACTAGTTCCATGCAGGCTTTGGCCAGCTTCATACAGATGCCAACCCAAGAGCATCTCATGCCAAACCTGTGTGAAGCTCCTCTTCAGGACTTCCCTGGGCTTCTCTGGCTTTGCAAAGGGCACCCCAGGAGCCCACTTGACGCTCACAGATATGCAACCTACATGTGTGAGAATTCATGCCCCATGGGACAACGTTTGACTAGTGGGGGACAGAACTCCATGGAGACACAACCCCATGGAGACACATGACCCTCTTTCTTTCCCTGAAAATAGTCCTGCAATGCATTTCCTAAGGCTTCTCAGAGGGTCCAGCAGCAACTGCCCACACAGTAACACATCCTGGCACCAGTCCCCCTGCTCCCCTGCGCCCTCCCCTCTGTGTGCCCTGCAGTTACAACAAACTTTCACAAGAACCCCTGTGCTTGTGCAGCACAGAAGCCTTTGTCTCAGGGCTTACTCTAGGACTCTCAAGTCCAGGGCTTCTCAACCAAGAGGTCCTGCAGCCCCCCACTAGTGGGTCGTCATTGGCTAGATGCCTTGGAGAGTCAGTCTTGCGGCCAGTCCTTGAGCAAATGGGTTCAACCTGCTGCAAGAGGTCACTCAGCGTACTTGAACCCTGCCCTTTGGACTCACCTGCCTGCAGCAGGGGCCTGAGCGTGGACAGGGACTTGAGCCTTTGCAGCCAGGAGCCACGCTGGAAGGCCGAGATGTCCACTGGGGCTGCATCCAGCAGAGGGTCAATGGCTGATGCCAAGCGATTCATGAACTCTTCGTATCTGGGAAAGGCCTGAAACAGAGTCCCAAGTCAAGGTCTGACTGCCCAGGACCTCAGGGGATACGATACCATGCTCAGGCCCTTGGGTCCCTGGCACCTCCACATGGCCTGCTGGACTTCAAGGGGTTCCTGGGCCTTTTCTCCAGCCCTGGCTCCGCCAGGCTCTGCTGTCGTCCTGGTCCTAGGACTATATGCGTCAGGGGAGCTAAGAGAGATCATGGGTGATGAAGGTGCTACCCTGGGGTGGGGGGTTAGGCGGACAGGGGCAAACTATCACCCAGAGAAAATGGATGTGTACCCTGGGGTATGTCTCTGCGATAAACCACAGAGCCATTTGAAAACTTCCTCTCTATGTCCTTCTGTCTGTCTGTCCATTCTTGGTAATGACGAGGTCTCTTCCCACGTGTCCCAGGGTGCTGACTGCCCCTTCCCAGGCCAGAACCATCATGTCTGCAAGCCTCCCATGCCCTCTTGCCATAAGCAGGACCAGATGGTAGCAGAGGTCTGCACCCCTTCACTGCACAGGCTCCCATGCAGAACCCACTTCCAAGACCAATCATTCCTGAGCCTGGTGGTTGATAACTCCACACTTCCTTCCCTTGATGGGTGACAGGAGCAGGGGGTGGGTGCCCGTGGTGCCGGTGGAAACCCCTCCCTTGACTCAGTCCAGTGCTTTTGATTGACACTTGGGTCAACTGCTTTGACCCAACAACAACTCAACTCACTGCCATCGAGTCCACTCGGACTCAAGGGTCCCTGCAGGACAAGGTGCCTGGGCGTTCCCGAGACCGTAACTTTTTACAGGGCTAGAAAGGCCCACCTTTCGTCTGTGGAGTGGCTGGTGGTTTTGAACTGCTGACTTTGCAATTAGCAGCCCAGCCCATAACCACTACCCCACCAGGGCTCCTTTGCCGGCTTTGATCTACCCATGGGGTTTTAGTAAGTGCTACACAGAGGAAAGGTCTGGTTGAAGTGGATTTGAGGAAGCAAAATGAAGCTAAATGCCCTCCCAGTGCTTTTAGTACAACCCAATGTCCGGATGAAGCCGGGAGCCAGACTCCAAGGTGTGGCTTTTGCCGCCTGCTCCTCTGGTCACTTGGGCTCAGGGTGTGGCCAGTGGCCTGCAGGCTCAGGGACCCGGCCTTGCTGAATCTGAGACCGGCAGGACTTAGAGAAGAAGATTTAGAGAGTGGTTCCTATCCCACGGCACAGGGAGGACAGCGGTGGTCTCTTGGCGGTTCTGAGCACCAGGTGGGTTTGGAAATGGCTGGTTGAAGAGAGGTGGGTGCCAGTGGGTCTTGAGGTTGTTCCCGGAATTAGGTGAAAATACCGCAAAGCAGCGTTGATCATGTGAACCTTGTGGTTAGTGGTTGAGTTGGCGCCTGCTCACGGTGACCCCAGTCACCGTAGGAGGATGCAGGTCCTGGACTGTGTAAGTGTCACAGTTCTCGGACAGCTTCAGCCCATTGCTGCAGCCACTGTCTGATTTGTAGGCCTTCCAAGCTACAGGGTGCATCTTCCACCACCATATTGGACCACATGCCATTGCAGTCCGTAGGGTTTTCCTTGGTTAATTGACCGGTGGATCACCAGGCCTTTCTTCCTAGTCTGTCTTGAGGTACCAGCTCTGATGAAACCTGTATCCCAGGGGCAATCCTGCTGGCCTAGCTTCCAGCATCCCAGCGCCCTGTAAAACCACAGGCTGCCAAACGGACAGATGGGTGGTTGGGGTGGGTACACTTGGTTCTTATAATAATAAAAAAATGTCTCCCCCACGTTTTGTCTTAAGGCCGTGCTGAGGTGTGCTGTGAGAAGCAGCCATCCCTAGATCTTTCTGTATCTATGAAACCGATCCCACCAGGCCTGTGAAGAGCGGACCTCAGAGACAGGTGTTCCATCGCGGACAACGGCGGTCACATCAATGTGGCGAAAAGGCCGGTCACATGGGGATCGGGCTTCCCCACTGCATGTAAAAGTTACGTTGGCACTCCATTGCAGTTGATCAGCTAGGCAATCACCTCGTGGAAAAGCTTGATATATTGCGGAGGACAGCTAACCTAAGACCCTCTGACACAAAGTGGGCACGTGTCACTTTGGCAAAAGGATGCCCACAGACCCATTGCAGGCCGGGTTGCCATAGACCTTTGATTGGTTAAGCGGGAGAAATACAGTGAGCTATGGCTTTGTGCCACGCAGTGCTTCATTGAGCCAAAGCAACTGAACAGATTCCCTGGCATACAAGCTCCTTCGCATGCGTAGCCCTCCTTCCCGCAGGACCGCACACATTATGCCCCTGCTGTGTCCTGAGTTGCCAGGGGGCCTGGTGCCAAGTGGAGGGAACATTTGCTGCAGCTCTTGGTCCTATGTTTCCGATCCAATTCATTCTCTTCTTAAATACCTCTCATCTCCCTTCCCTCTTTATTTATGTGAATATCGAAGACCACTTGGCTTTCTTTCTGAACGCAGAAGGAATATACAGCGCACGTAGTAAGGGCACGCTGGTGGGACCCCCTTCTGACAGTCACCCGGGGAGGCCAACCTCACAGGGGTCCCTGAGTGAAGGCGTGCAACCTGGATGACCCCTGGTGCCTGGTCCTCAGCAGTCACCTGTGTCCCCTTCCCTTGGCAGTGCCTGAAACCAACCGTTAGCACAAACTGGACCCTCGTGTCCCATGACAATTCCAACTAGGCCCATGTCCCTTTGAGTGCCATCTCCGGGCTGATGAGGGGCGAGGGGGAGTTATTGGTTGCTTTCCTTACCTGGGCATCCTTCTGGGAGAACTGGGCAATCTGCTGCTGGTTTTCTGCCATGTCTGTGCCCAGCAGAAGGGACCTGGGCCCCTTGCCCCCGGTGCCTTCTTCTAGCATGGGGGTGAAGGAGTACGGGTCTCGAAGATGCAGCCTCAGCCCATGTTTCTGCCAGACACAAACAGCACAGGCAACGTGTTAAGGCACCTGCGGCCTCTGGTGGTGCTGTGGGTTGGTTACATGTTGGGCTGCTGACTGCCAGATCAGCAATTCGAGCCACCAGTGGCTCAGTGGAAGAAAGCTGGGACAATGTCCTCCTGTGAAGACTGACAGCCTCGGACCCCCCAGGGGGCAGATTTGCTCCGAGTCAGAATCGCCTCCCTAGCAATTGTTTTGGGAGGTGGTACATGGGTGGGAGTGGGGGGGGTGGGCTGTGCTCTGCCCTCAGCCCTTCTCCAGGCAGGTGACCAATTGGGAGCTGGTGTGCAGGTTCCCAAGTCATGCAGTCCTGGTTCTTTTCAAAAATAGACATTTGCAAAAAAAGCCCTCTTGTCAGGCTCCCTGCAATAGACCACGCAGTGCAATGTCACGGTTGGCGCACAACACTCACGGCATTCCAGGCATCAGCTAACCGTCTCTCAGCCATCACCCAACGGTACACCTCATCCTGTTCTGGGAGATGCGTGTGACTGTCCCTACTGCGACAATGCAGAACCCAAGGCGCAGCCTCGGAAGCCGCCAAGGCCACGCGAGGTGGAGGGTGGGCTTCCGGACCACCGCCCTGCAAAGCCACAGCCCTGGCTCTTAGGTACCAGCCCATCACTCCACCACTTCAGCAAGAATGAATTGAAACTCAGGAAGACGCAACAGAGCCACGGTTATTTGAAAATCTGTACTTTCAAGGGAGACACATTATTCACATCGCAAAGAAAAGAAAAACATGTTCACTTTGCCGACCCTTTACCTCGGGGTCACTCTACAGGGAGATTCTTGCCATGAATTTAAAATAGGATTTGATATACACAGGATTTTACTAGCTCGCAGGACTTGCACATCCACCGTTTTCAAAGGCACAAGAGGCCAGCTAACTCCACCAGTAACTGAACACTCTATCGTCATCTGATGAGTCCTTTCCACACGTGGTCCACTCCCTCGCTTCCACGGGGTCTCTGCTCAAATGCCTTTTCATCAGAGCCCTTTCCCGGCAGCCCTTCCCCCAGCACGCTCTGGCCAGGGACTTCAGAGCGCAGAGCACCACTGGCATGACAACCTATGTTGATGTCTCTCCCACATGGCGGGGCAGCTCTATGGGGTCAGGAGCTTTGTCTATTTGCTCCCCTGATGCATTCCCAACATCTCCAACCAAACCCGATGCCAGGGATTCCATGCCGACTCATAGCAACCCTGCAAAACAGGGTAGAACTGCCTCTGTATTTCCCAGACTGTAACTCTCTATGGGAATAGAAAGCGTTGTCTTTCTCCCAAGAAAGGTTGGTGGTTTCGAACCGCTGACCTTGTAGTTAGTGACCTGATGCACAGCCACTGTGCCAACAGGGCTCCTTCCCCAACATCCAACTTCACTAGGATAGATCTCAGCGATCAATCAATAATCAATCAATAATTGGTACTGTGCTATAGGTGGACTGCTGGGTGGTGTGAATGGTTTGGGTTCAACCACTAACCCCACGAAGGTTGGGGGTTCAAGTCCCCTGAGGGGTGATGCAGAGGAAGGACCAGAACCAGGGGAGCCTGGGGAGCAGGTCTGCTGTGACACGTGGGTTGGCTCAGTTTGGCTTCTGTGCCCGACAAGGACAGAAACAGGATCTGGGAGTAGACAGACCTTGTAGGAAGCAGGGGAAATGAACGTTTTCAGTGATCATAGTTGCACTGTCCCCAAATCCAGTGCATGCTAGCTGGGCAGGATCACCATGCATTGGGCATTTGTGAGGTGATCCTAAACAATGGACAGAGTGTGTGTGGCAGGGGGCGGGGGCTCCAGTGCCTTCTAATCCCAAGATGGCAGGCTCCTCTGATTCTAAGTCAGAGGGGCATCCAGTTTTCACTCAGGAGTCACAACAGCTGCCAATAATGCAGCTCTGACTACGTGCCTGGGAGAAAGAGGAGGCTGTCTATTCCAGTAAAGAGTGATAGTCTCAGAAACCCACAGGGCCGTTCTACTTTGAAGGCAGTGAGATTTTTTTTGAGCTTTACTATGCACCTGGCTATCACTGCTGATGTCAGATCGATCTTCTCTCAAAGCAGAGAAAACCAGAAAGATGTTTACTTGTGTTTCATTGACTGTGCCAAGGCACTGGACTGTGTGGACCATAACAAGCTATGGATAACCTAGAGAAGAATGGGAATTCCAGAACCCTTCATTGTGCTCATGCGGAACCTGTACATGGATCAAGAGGCGGTGGTGGAAATAGAACAAGGGCACACCGCATGATTTAAAGTCAGGAAAGGTGTGTGTCAGGCTGCATCCTCTCATCATACTTATTCAATTTGTACACAGAGCAAGAAGAATATACTATCAGTGTGGGAGGACAGCTTATTAACAACCAGCAATATGCAGACGATGAAACCTTGCTTGCTAAAAGTGAGGAGGGCTTGAAGCACTTGCTGATGAAGATTAATGATGGCAGCCTTCAGTATGGAGTACAACTCAATGTAAAGACCCAAATCCTCACAACTGGACCAGTAGGGAACGTCATCATAAATGGAGAAAAGGTTGAAGTTGCACTGGGTAAATCTGTTGCCCTAGAAAGACCTCTTTAGAGTGGTGAAAAGCAAGGATGCTACTTTGAGGACTAAGGTGTGCCTGACCCAAGCCATGGTCTTTTCAGTTGTCTCATATGCCTGTGAAAGTTGGGCATCGAATAGAGAAGACCAAAAAGAATGGATACATTTGAATTGCGGTGCTGGAGAAGAAGATTGGAAGTACCACAGAGGGCTAAAGGCACGGCACAGCCAACAGGATGTCTTAGAAGAAGCACCACCGTGCTCCTTAGAGACAAGGATGGTGACAGTCTGTCTCACATACTTTGGACACATCGTCAGGAGAGACCAGTCCCTGGAGAAGAATAACATGCTTGGTAATGCAGAAAACCAAACCAAGCCCAACACAGGGACATGCAGTCAATGCTGACTCACAGCGACCCTGTGGGTTCTGAGACTGTAACTGTGCATGGGAGTAGAAAGCCCAGTCTTTCTCCCGAGGAGCTGCTGGTGGTTTCAAACTGCTGACCATGGGGATAAAATAGAAGGGCAGTGGAAAAAGAGGAAGCCCCTTCACGAGGTGGATCGGCACTGCAGCAGCAACAGGCTCAAGCATTAGCACTCGGGAAGAAATGTGAGGGTGGCGCAGGACTGCGCTGTGCATGGACAGGGTCATTATCGATGGCACCTCAAAGCCACAGCAACCTATGCCCCGCACTGCGATGATCAAGCACAACCTCACCAGCTATCACGAAAGGGCCATTGGCTGGGCTCTGCCCAGCCTGGAGCTGTGGTGGGCGCTGTGGTGGAGGGATGGCCGTGTCCACTGTGAACTGCCCAGTGCTGGCTACCAAGCACTACCGCAGTGCCTGGGGCAGCTTGTCATGGCTCCGGAAGGAGGAGCCGCGATCAGCCAGACTTGGCTGAAATCCGCTGTCATGTTTCCACCCATGTGAACGTTTCACCTCAGTTTGCTCCTCATAAAATAGAGCTATTAACCGTGTTTGTCTCACAGGGTCGGGGGGAGGATCAAGCAAAAGAGCATGAACACTCTTAGCCCGAGGTGCGACGCCAGCCAACAGGCCCTCTTAATTACTGCTTTGGAAGCAGAACATGCTAGATGCCCTCCAGCCAGCCATGTCCTGTTAGAAGGTGCCCCTTCTCCGGATGGGTTACCTGTGTGCACCTCGCAAGGGACTGCTTTCTCCCTGGACTTTACCGCCCTGCTCCTACCAATGCAGCCCGGGGTCAGAGGTCAAACCAGACCCAATTCTCTTGGAGCCCCGTGACACACATACTGAGTCTGTTTAATAAAGAGACCAATCCTGTCCCAGCTCTGTCTCGGGATTCATCGTTTTCATGAGTTGGGCTCGTGCAAAGGAGGGTCTATGGTGTTCCACACACCTGCTGCTACGTTTGCATGAGTTCTGCAAACTGCCTTCAGTCGCGGTCTGGTATGAACTGAGGACCCCTGACCCCCCCCCCCTTGGCCTGGCCTGGACCTCACCCAGTCCTGGTGGCTGGGCAACCTTTCTTCCTCCCTCCGTGTGTCTCCGTGGCTGGAGTGGCCTTAGGTCAGAGGACGTCTCTGCAGGACTCAGGGAGAGCCAACAGAGGGCTCTGAGCAGTGACGAGTGTCCTAGCAAGTGCTCACTTAAAGTATCAGCAGACAACGCCGCCGCCGCCGCCGCAGCGCTGGTGGAGCCGGCGGCACGGAAGAGCTCGTTCTCTGAGAGTCAGGTGAGGCAGAGCAGGTAGATGCAAAGTTGGCTAGGAAGGTGGTGCTGGAGTCTAAGAGAGGCAGCGAGAGGTGGAAGGAAACTGGAAGGGTACGGGCAATGGTGGGGCAACGATGGGGACAAAGGTGAAGCTATTTGGAACTAAGCCAAGGGCAGACAGAGAGCTCTCGGCGTCTCCTCAACAGAGCCCAGGATCCAGAAGAGGAAGTGCCCCGGCAGGCTGAGTACAGAGACCCAACAGAATAGCATCAGAGGTCAGAATGAGGCTGGTGTCTTAAAGCAGCTTTGCAAACTCAACTGTCCGAGGGTGCAGGCAGGTAGCGACCAGGGCCGGAGAAGGCTCCCGGGAAGAGGTGCTGAGAGGGCTGAGCTGGGAGCCCTGTGCCCTTTAAGGGAGAGGCCGTTCAGCCCCAGCCAAGTGCAGCTGGGTAGGAAGGTGGGCCCGGCCTTGGCAAAAGACCCGAGTTTCCCTTCCCAGCTTTTAGGATACTGGGACCTCGTTGAATCTCTGAAAACACACCAAGGAAACCATGTGGGTGGGCAAACCTTCCCGAGAGACCATGGGTGCAGGGGCTCACCCTCCCCGGGCAAGGTCCAGCAGTCCCTCCCCCCCCTCCCCCCACCCCACCCCCGCCCCATTCCCTTGGGGCTGTATGTTGGGGGGAGGGGTCTACCTTCAGCTCCAGGTCTGTGTAAATCTGGGGTCTCAGCAGGCTGAGGAGGTAGGATGCACGGGAGAACTTATACCCTGGAATCAAGTCAGAGGGAGCCGGTCACTAGGGGCAGCCAGTGGTGACCACCCTGACCACCCTCGGGGCTCACCTGGCACGATCTCCTCAGTGACAGCTGCACCCCCAATGATGTGGCGCCTCTCGAAGACCACCGTGCGCAGCCCCAGTCTCTGCAGGTAGGCTGCCTAGGGAGGGACACACCGAGCCTTCCCTTCAACCCTCTGGATCCAGCTCCAGGGTTCTCACTACAGGGACAGTGTGCGGTCCACCCTCTGGGAACACTGTCCTTAAATCCTCCCTCTTCCCAGAAGCCTTCTAACCCCCAACCCACTGCCGATTCCAAGTCATTGCAATCCTACAGGAGAGAGTAGAACTGCCTCTGTGGGTTTATGAGGCTGCAAATCTTTGCAGGAGTAGAAAGCGTCCTCTTTCTCCCACAGAGAGGCTGGTAGTTTCAAACTGATGACCTTGAGACTGGCAGCCCAGCGCACAGCCCATGATGCTACCAGGCTTCCTTTGATGCCTTTGAAGATGTGCCTCAAGAGCTGACTGGTCCCGCCCCTCCACTCCCCAGCTGAAGGTGACCTCCCTCTGCTTAAGCAGGCAGGTGCTTCTCTGACTTACACTGCCTCCTATTCACCCTGTCCCCGGATGCCATTGTCACAGAGAGTTCAGTGAAGCTGAGCTTGTGGGCGCTGAGCCAGATCACGCCGGTGCCAATCCTCACACCTCCTTCTGCTGGGGTGGTCCTGTGCCCAATCCACCTTGTCTCCATTTCCTCATGTGCAAAAATGGGGTTGATCATAATAGTACCTACTCTACCCACTTCATAGGGCCACTGTGAGGATCAACCAAGCAAGTCCCTAGATAGACAGATGTGTGAAGGGATGGGTGGATGGACGGATGGATCAAAGAGTAAATGGATGGATGGCGAAAATTAACTTCAGCTCAATAAATGAAGCTCCGATTATAACCATGCTATTTGGGGAACAAATGATACAGGCACTTTTATGGCATTATCAACACATTTGTTGAAATAAACTTGGGACTCCTCAGATCTTAAATGCTGGTCCTCCTCCACTGCCGTCCATACCAGTGGGACACCAGGGAGGGTGCAGTTCAGATGTCAAAATTTTGAAAATCATTCATTTGGCAACTCGTATGTGCCAGATGTCATGTGGGCGTCATCTCACTGGACCCCCTCACCCATCCTGCAGGGAGCCATTGTGAGCCACCCCGTTGTACAGCTTGGAGAAACTAAGGCTCAGGGAGAAGGAAGGCTGGGCGTCGAACCCAGATGGTGAACCTTGGATCGTTGGTTGGAACCTGAACTTGATGAACTCCTAAGGTTTCGCGCTGAGATAGAAAACAGAGCCCTGGCATTGAGAAGTTTGCTTGGCACTCAGAGGACAGCCAGGCGGCTCTCCCTCCAGACAAGGACCAGGCACAGCAAGCTTTCCACAAGGGGTTGCTCTGATCATTATTGGAAGTTTCCACCATCCCACAGAACACCGGCCTCAGGCAAGGTTACTCTGCATCCGTGATAACATGAGACATAGCAAAGCTTTGCCCACAAATTTGTCTGTGTACTCACAGCACGCAGGCCTCTCGGTGCCACCCACACAGTAAGAAACCCTCCCTGCCTGCCTTGGCCAAAATGAACCAAGTGTGTTACTGGTAGGAGCACTGGTGGTGTCGTGGTTATGAGTTGGGCTGCGAATGGAAAGGTCGGCAGTTTGAAACCACCAGCTGCTCCTCGGGAGGAAGATGGGGCTTTCTACTTATCCCACTAACTGATACAATCTTGGAAACTCACAGGGGCCAGTTCTACTCTGCCCTGAAGACTCACTGTGAGTCGGCATTGACCCAATGGCAGCGGGCACATGTGAGCGTGCTCCTGGTGGTCTTTTCCCCTTGCTGGAAACTTCCAATACTAAGAGGTACCCTTGGAGTCAAGCTTGGTGTGCCTGGTTCCTGAAGGCAATTACCTGTAACCTTCGCAACAACTTGGCGAGGCTGGTGTTATCCGTCTCAGTTTGCTGAGGTTCAGTGAGGCTAAATGCTGTCCCTTAACCTTTATAGAGACGGGGGCATTGCTGAGAGATGAACCCGTGTTTATATCAATACAGAATCAATGTTGTAAATTACTGATCGCTTGAGTTGCCTAACTATCCCTGTCACATCTTCAAGTAAAATTAATAATTGGGTAAAAAAAAAAGTGCCAAGATGTCACCTACGCCCCTCAGCAACCCCACATTGCTCCCGCGAGTCCCTCTCCTCTGAGATTCCAGAGCAGGCACTGCTCCTGGAAGGTGACCCAGGCTTGTTGGTTGCGCTCCGAGACCCTCTGGCACGTGCTCTGGCCCGCTAGGGGTACGAGGATGCACGCTGAGGAACAGGCGAGAGCAGCTGTGGCCCAGCTCAGCTTCAGGCCAGCTGTGTTGGAGGGAGAGTCCCTGCCTCTCTGCTGGCTGGGGGACACTTTGGATGGTAGAGCTGCTGGACACTCTAGGTCGGTCCATGGCCGGGGGATGGTGGGCCCTATTCAGAAGGGCCGCCCACTGTGCCGAGTCAGAGGGTTTCCCCCAACGTGTCTCCCAGGTTATGCCAGTATGCCCTTTGCCACCATCTCATCATCTTGCTTCTGAAAATCCCCTGACTTTCTGGGAGAGAGGGCAATTAATTAATCCCAGTGCATTAAAGGAAAGTGGTAGAATGGGTCCCCCCAAACTCTCCTCCCCCCTTAATTGGCTGTGGACATGCACTGGATCAGCCAATAGTTAGCATCAGGGGGGGTGGTCTTGCCACCTGCTGAGCTCACCCTGCCCTTCTCCACCCCCCCACCCCACCCCACCCCCCAAGCTGCTGAGAGCCACTTGTCCAGAGCAGTGACGAAGGGCCCAGGGAGGAGGTGGTACTCACAGCTACCAGCCCGTTGTGTCCTGCAACGAGACAGGGAAGAGAGAGAAGGAGACTGGTCAGTGGGCAGGCACAGTCCTTGAGGAGCATGGCCACCCACCCCTGTCCCCAAACCCATGGAGATCCTGGCCAGGCAGCGGACACTGGATGACTCCTCTGACAGCCCCCAGACGTCATCCCTACACTGAGGTGACCAGATTTAAAGCGGGACACCATTGACCGGGGGGCGGGTTCTTGATAAAAATTTGGTCTATATGGACCAAACAGACCGTTCCCTAGCTTGTCGTGCATTCTTTCCAAAAATCGGGACTTTAAAACGCCAAAAAGCGGGACTGTCCTGCCAAAAGCGGGACGTCTGGTCACCTTACCCTACACTCATGCTGGTAAAGGCTGCCGCTCCACCCATGGAGCGCCCAGGCTCTGAAGGATCAGAAAACCCTGGATTCTGACCCGCCTTGAAAAAAGACCCAGCACCCAGGTGTGGATAGTGGCTCTATGCTGGAGGGAGGGCGAAGAGAAACAAACTGTCCCTAGATGGCGCTATCCCACGATGCTTTGCATTGCCCTGCTCCTATCACGCGGGAATGAATAACGGCTATGACTGGGGGAACATCATGCCCCTCAGTAGGGAGGCTGGCACCAGTGTGCAGGACGTCCCTGGCCCAGAATGAGCCGGTCCCAGGGCATTTAATGAGCAGCCAGCCAGCTGAGCGCAGTTGAGGGGATGTTGGCTGTCGAGTGTGGCTTGCTTTGCCCAGGTGTGGTACACACGAGACCACAGTGCCTAAGAAAGCGTTGTTCATATCGATTTGTCTTCTGTTGAGCCCTAGTTGACAAACATCTGTCTTGGAAGAAGCACAGCCCGAAGAGGCGAGGAGGATGAGACTTTGTCTCATAGTTTGGACATGTTGTCAGGAGAGCTCAGTCTCTGGAGAAGGACATTATGCTTGGGAAAGTAGAAGGGCAGCAAGAAAGAGGAAAGAGATTGTGGTAGTCACATACTCTGTTGTCAATCTGAGAATATTAAGAGTGAAGGGGTGGAGGTTAGCCTGTCAATCAGGTCACAAATTGATGACCTCATTTGGAGGCACTAAGGAGATAAATGGCTTACTGGAAGCAGCGGAACACTTGCTCAGTACCTGCCAGAAATCCCTGCTGACTCAAGACACATGGAGCCATGTGGAGACCTCTGTCAGTGCTAAGATGATGCTTCCACCGCCACTGGATCTACAAGACTTTCCATCCACTGGCCAGTGATCTTTCTGCATTCAGCATCATTGCATATGTTGTGTGAGTCTGAAGAGGAATTTATAGATTGATATTGGACATGTGGGCTAATATCAGACTTATGGACTTGAACTGGACTGGGCTGGGATGTTTTCTTAATGTACAATTACTCTTCGATATAAAGCTCTTTCTTATTCACATGAGTGTCCATGAATTTGTTTCTCTAATCTTCCCGGACCTACACAGCCATCAGAGATGGATTGTCACAATGGCTGCAACAATGGGCTGAAGCACACGAAGAACTATGTGGATGGTGCAGGACCACACAGTGTTGTGCTGCTAGAGTTTCTGGCTGCGGATCCCATGTTCCACCAATAGATGGTTGGAAGGGATAGGCTTGCCAGCAGTGTGCAAATTCCACTTTCCCCAGTCAGTCTGGCCAGCCAGTCAGAGGTGGGGTGCTGGAATCTGATCTCTCACAAAGCAGATTTCAAGTCAGGTGGTCTCAGACCCTTAAGTTAAGGAAACAAGTGTTTGGGGGTGAGCCCACCAAGCATAAGTCCTCATAGTTGGCAGGGAACTGGAGCCAGGTCTTGTCTGTGACCCTTAGTGCATGCTTGTCCTTGGTGAGAGAAGACCACCCTGAGTCATGCAGATGCCAGGGGTGACCAGGTTCTCTGAGCACTAACCCCAGCCCAGGGTTGACTGGAAGAGAAGCCCGGCTGTTGGTTTGGCTAACTTCTGTCAGGAGGAGAGCTGCAGGGACCCACAGGTGGATTTCTTCAGGACAGAGCCAACTGAGCTTGGTCTTTTCTTGCTAGAGCTTCCCAGAATTTGAGAGGCCAGCCAGCCAGCCGGCAAGCATTAAAGGCATCTCTAAAGTGGAGTTTTTCTGAACCTCTTTGAACGTGACTTACAGGAAGAAAGACATTTTACACCAGGACTGGCACACACCCTGCCTGTCAAAGGCTTTCACAGCAACAAAAGCTCCATGAACTTATAATAGCACTCACCATGTGTAAGGAGCAAAGGCTAAGCACTCACCTGTTCACTGAAAGGTTGGCACTTCACACCCACCCAGCTGCTCTGCAGGAGAAAGGCCTGGCCTAAGTGATTTACTTGTTGGGCTGTGATCTGAAAGGTCGGCCGTTCAAAACCACCAGCTGTGAGTCCAGAGAAAGATGGGGCTTTCTACTCGTCAATAGTTACAGCCCTGGGAACACACAGGGATGAGCCTCTGCTGTCCGATGGGGTTGCTATGAGTCGGCATCCACTCGATGGCAGTCAGCGAGAAACCATATGATAAACATCTTGATAGTTTCTGTGTTATTTTTAAAGGCAGGTTGGTGGATTTTTCAGCCGCATTGAAAACCTTGACAAGAAGAAATGCTTCCAAACACTGCCGGTTGCATGGCTGGCAGCCTGCAGCTTGAAGAGCGCTGCTCTCAAAAGTCCATGGAGCAAACTGGAGCCGACAGGCCTGGGCTCAAAGCTGCCCTTGGCAATGCAAGGTCCTCAGAGAGTTCTTTTACCGGTGAGCTTCTTCACCGGTCACTCGGAAAGGATGTTGCAGCCGTGTAGCGTTGTAGGGAGGACACTACCTGTACAGCACCTGACCTTCCGCAGGCCTGACGTATACGGCAGCTCTTAGGTTTTCATCTGCTGGTGTTAGCTCCCATCACACCTGTGTACAGCAGACTGAAATGCTGCCTGGTGGGCCTGCTCAGCGGCACAATCCCTCTTGTGTTTGACCCCTGGCTGCAGCCCCTGGGTCAATCCATCTCACCCAGGGTCTTCCTCTGTTTGGCTAACCCTCTACTTGGTTCAAGCAGGAAGTTCGTCTCCAGGGCCTGATCTGTCCAGATGCTATGTTCAAAGTACAAGAGAGTCTTGTTAGCCCTACTTCTAAGGAACGTCCTAGGTGCACTTCTTCCGAGACAGACTTGTTTGTTCTTCTGACAGGCCATGGTGGAGCCCAACGTCGTCACTGCCTTAGTCATCGTCCAGCTTTTACATGCAAACGAGGTGGTTGAAAACAGCGAGGCTGGAGTCAGGCGCATCTCAGTCTGCAGAGTGACCGCCTTGCTCTTCCACACTTTGAAGAGGTCTTGTGCAGCCACAGATTTGCCCCAGGCGATGGGTGGGGTCTTTTGATCTCTGACTGCTGCGTCCTTGCACATTGATTGTGGAGCCAAGTAAAATAAAATGCCCGACAACTTCCATCTTTTTTGTTTGTTTTTATTAATGAAGCTGCTTATTGGCTCAGTGGTGAGGATTTTTATTTTCTGTTTTTTTGAGGTGTGATCACCGGTTAAGTACTTCAAGACCTCTTCGCTTTCGGCAAGTAAGGCGGGGTCATGGGCACACTGCAGGTGGTTCATGAGCCGCCTCCGATTCCCAGGCGGCGTTTTCCTTTCTACGGTTCCGGTTCTTGGATGGTTTGCTCAGCATACAGATTGAGTAAGTGTGGTGAGAGCATACAACCCCCTCTCCCACCTTTCCTGATCGTTAGGCACCCAGTGTCTGTTAGGCAGGTAGATTCAGGGACAAGGGGGTTGTCCCTCCCATGCCTGCAAAGGCCCCCCCTAGAGGAGGTTGGAAGAAAATCAGGTGACCATTGGAGCCTATGAGGACCCCCAAACTGAGCATGCTCACACTCAAAGTCCCCCACCCCCCGCCAGGTGGGAGGTACACCTGAGCAGTCCAAACTAGGCCCAGGCTCATGGCATCACCCAGGTGGGTTCAACCTAGCCAATGGGGTCAACCAATACCATCAACACGCCTCCCAGCAAAGGCTTGAACTATCCTATCTCTTACCCTGCTCTTGGTCAGAGGCAGGTCGGAGGGTGGCCATGCGCCCTCCCTGGGTCTACTCAGGGCCCACAGCCTCTTGGCCCACATGTTTTAAGCTTCTAGGGCTCTTGGGCTTCTGTCCTCCCAGGACCTCCCTCACCCCCCCCTCCTCTGTCCACCTTGGGCAAAGCAGGGCCCTTACCAGGGACAGACCCACCCTGGAGGTGGGCGAGGAAGAGCTCTGGGACTCAAGGCCTGAGCCTTAACTTCGCAACATACGGAGTCCAGACAGAAGCACTCAAAGCAGGAGCAGAAGGTCCACCTGGAGCCTCAGGAGAGACCCAATTCAGGGACAGGCTAGTCTCTCTATTGCAACGTAGCTCCAAGAGATTGTGAGCCTGCTGCCTTTACCTGGGCTCCAGGTGGCATGTCCCGAGTCCTGAGCTGAGCTAACGAA